TAGGCTGGAGGGGATAATGGTATAATAGGTAATAACTCAAGCATGAGAAGTGTATCAAGTATGAACAACTTTCAAATTCTCCAAAAGTGAGATTGGAGAATCTCACTTTTGACTGAACTCCCCCTGACCTTTCCCATCCCCTTAAACCCAAGTCTCTATCCTGGAATCTCTGACCTCGCTGTGCTTCTGTGCCATTCCCCATATACACATTTCCTCCTTGGTGGGAACCATGAACTTCCTCTATCCAACATAGAGTGTTCTATATTTTAGGGAAAGAAATATGGTAGTTACCTTGACCGAGAACCTACATCCTACACAGATGGAAGGGAGATGAGTAAAGGGCCTCTGCATCTCAGTCTTACTCCTTGATCTTTCACTCTCACTCTTTATCACTGACATGGTCTCACAGCTCTCTCTGGACCACACAAGTATACTGCATTTTTATGTAGTTTCCACTTGACACATATGGGCTTGAGGTCCAGAGATGTGGAAGGAAGCACTGGAGAGATGGGATGGAGACTGATGGTCAGGTGAAAAGTAAAGATTAGGGTGGGGCTCAGAGATGGCTTCAAGGACAGCTCTGTAATGCAATCTAGTATCATCTTTTTATATCCAACTCCTTCATCTCTTTGTGCCAGAAAATTTAGAGCTGTGGGCTGCCAGTCTCCAGCTCAAGGAACTGTATTGGTTCAAAATTTTTCTGGTGAGCGAACACTGTACTCTGTAGTACCTGAAAAAGTTTACCTAGGGAATCACCTCTTTGTTTTTATTTTTCTGAAAAATAATCAGAGAGCACTCAATGGAAAATTCTTTATTTGAATTTATTTTTCTAAAAATAATCAACTAGCACCCAAAGGAAAATTTTAAAATGCTAAACATATGTATTCCCACACTCTCACCTAATTATCCCATTCCCTCATGTTAGTTAAAAAAGGTACCAAATAATTTTCTATCACTTCTTGTGGAGTATCTTTATGGCAATTTAACAGCTGCCACACTGTTATGGTGGAGTAGGGATCAACAAAGGCAAATAATCCAACATAGCTTTTGTTGCCAATATGGGTTCCTTTTCTCCTTTCTCTGAGAACATCTGCTTGGTATTTGTAGAGACATTATCTTCTCTATGCATAACCTAACCAGGCACCTGTGATTACTTATTTTACAGAGGAGGCAACCAGAATTTGGAGAAGCAAGATAGGGCATAGAGATACAACAAGAGTCAGGCCTCTGAATCCAAGACGCCTGAGATTTTTTTACTCACAAATGTGTCAGTAGGATATATATTTTGTAAAGAGCTTTTTTATACTTTTTCAAAAAAAGAATGCTGGTAATGAAGAGATAGTATAGCAAGCAAGTTGTTTATCTTGCACGAGGCTAACTCGAGTTATATACCTAGTACCCCATATGATCCCCTGAGTTCTGCCAGGAGTAATCCCAAAGCACCAAGTGAAGCTCTCAAACCAAAAAGTTATTTAATAATAAAATAAAAGAGTAATAGTCACATGAATTTCTTAAAGTACACTATATTATTACTGCCAATATTATTTTTCATGTTCAAATATTCTCAAGGCTAACCTTGGAAATTGATGTAGAATATGAGACCTAGGATTTGAAATCCACTTACTTAAGCATGTAGACATTGATTGTCATAAGAGCAGTGAGATATATCCTGGACTTGTGTGTTCACCTTGAAGTTTCAGGGAATATGGAATTGTGTAATGCAATCCCAGCATAGGGATATTCAGAATAATAGTGTTTGCTGAATATCTGTGTATGGTCTAAATTATTCATACCTTGAATCCCAGTCTCTGATGTGATATGAGGGGGTGCCTTGGTAAGATAACTGGAACAGAGGATAGAGTCCGGAGGAGAAGAATTAGTGTCCTGATCAAGGAAATCCACACAGCCTGGCTGGTTAGCAGCACCAAAGACTAGCCATCTGCTATGGCTGGAGCTGATTGCTTTAACTCCTGCTATGTGTTTTGCTGAATGCCCCATATCTTGGTTTCCCTAGCATGGAAAACTGTGTGCTGAATATTGAGATTGGCATGAAGCCTGCTATTTGGCTACTCTGGGTTGCTCTTTGATTAAGAGACAAGAAAACAGAGGATCTGGGCCATGTTTTCCTTCTAAACATAATGTAGGGCCAGGGAGATAATTCCATGAGCTTATAACTATATTTTAACACTGGAGGACCTGGTCATATTCTCAGAAACACATGATCCTCCATGTACTGCCAGGAATATTCTCCAAGTACATCTATATATGTTCCTCCTAACCAAACAACAGCAGCAGCAAATAAATGTATTGAAGAAAAGTTTCTGCTCCTGGAAGTTAATGAGGTAGAGAGAATAGACTCCTGTTCCTGGAAATCCCTCCTATAGAAGTAGACACAGGAGTGGAAGAAGGTACTCCTATCCCAAGCCCCCATGCCCAGAGTCCTTGGATAATGATTCCTAAAATAATCTCTCACTGGACTCCACTCTGGGGGTCACACCGGAAGAGTTGGTGGGTTCCTGAGACTCAACAAATCTCTCTGGAGATTCCCTGGACAGTTATCTAGGAATGCTATATTCCCACATGGAGGATGAAAGAGAGGTAAAGTCACCTGCAACCACTATGGATGCCAACCTCCATCAGTGAGCTCCTGAAGGATGTGTGTGGAGCCACAAGTGCTCACAGAGACTTAATGGGCTGAGATCCAGCCCTGTGAGGAGGCATCAAAAGTTCCTTCTCAGAACACATGGGTAATCATCAACTGCTAATCTCAGTTTTGTGGCTTTAAGTGCTGTTCCAAGAAAACAGGAAAAGTCCTATTTAACACTGTAACATATTCATTTATTGGCTGTGAGCTGAACATTTTTGTTATATGTTGGGGAGAGGAAGACCTTTTGCTTGTTGAAGAGAGCTTTCCTCACTCAAAAGGAGCTTTCCTCTCCTTCTTAGTTTATTTCTGGCACATGGCAAAGAACAGGGTTTTCTGAGTTTCCAAGGGAACACGGTGTGAGGGTAGGAATTCATCACAGTTGTCCATAGAAATTTACTAATTTAGGGACTATCTTAAACTAAGAAGCTTCTGCACCTCAAAAGAAACAGTGACCAAAATACAAAGACAGTCTACAGAATGGGAAAGGATATTCGCCAAATACACATCCGACAAGGGGTTGATATCAAGGATATACAAAGTGCTGGTTGAACTCCACAAGAAGAAAACATCCAACCCCATCAAAAAATGGGGCAACGAAATGAACAGAAACTTTCTCAAAGAAGAAATCCGAATGGCTAAAAGGCACATGAGAAAATGCTCTACATCATTAATCATCAGGGAGATGCAGATTAAAACCACAGTGAGATATCATTTCAAACCACAGAGACTGGCCCACATCCAAAAGAACAAAAGCAACCTGTGTTGGAGCGGATGTGACGAGAAAGGGACTCTCTTCACTGCTGGTGGGAATGCCGACTGGTTCAACCCTTTTGGAAAACAGTATGGACAATTCTCAAAAAATTAGAAATTGAGCTCCCATTTGACCCAGCAATGCCACTCCTGGGAATATACCCCGGAGAGGCAAAAAAGTGTAGTCGAAGTGACATCTGCACTTGTTTGTTCATTGCAGCACTGTTTACAATAGCTAGAATATGGAAAAAACCTGAGTGCCCGAGAACAGATAACTGGTTAAAGAAACTTTGGTACATCTACACAATGGAGTACTATGTAGCTGTTAGAAAAAATGAAGTCATGAAATTTACATACAAGTGGTACTACATGGAAAATATCATGCTAAGCGAAATGAGCCAGAAAGAGAGGGATAGACATAGAAAGATTGCATTCATTTGGGTAACATAAGGTAACAAAATAAGAGAATAACACCCAAGAACAGCTGTGATAAATACCAGGTGGTTCACTCCATGGCTTCGAGGCCAGCCGCACACTCTAGAGGTAAAGGCAGCTCAGATGGAGAAGGGAGCACCAAATAAAGGGTGCTGGGAGGATCCTCCCAGGATGGGAGATGCATGCTGAAAGTAGACTCTAGACCGAACATGATTGCCACCCAATGCCTCTTCTGCAAACCACAGCACCCAAAAGGATAGAGAGAGAACAAAAGGGAGTTCCCTGCCACAGAGGCAGGGTGGGATTGGGGATGGGAGGGTGGGAGGGATACTGGGATTAGTAGGAGTGGAGAACAGGCTCTAGTGGTGGAATGGTATAACTGAAACCCAAGCACAAAAACTTGTAAGTCTACAACTGTATCTCATGGTGTTTCACTAATTAAAAAAAAAGAAATTTACTCACTTATTCTTTCACTTATTTATTGATTCAGGCAAACACTACCAGAAAACCTCTTGTATTCCAATATTCATTAGATCAACTATCTGGCCATAACTTTTCTCAGTTCTTCTTAAATAATAGGATGAATCTAAGACCTAGGATTTGAAATCCACTAACGCGTGTAGACACTGATTGTCACAAGAGCAGGAGAGATCTATCTTGGAATTGTGTGCTCACCTTGAAGTTCCAGGGAATATGAAATTGTGTAATGTAGTCCTATCATAGGGACATTCAGAATAATGAAGGTGTCTCATTTGGTAGAATAGTGCAGCAGGCCCAAAAGGCAGATGGCAATTGGGAAGGGCATCCTCTAAGACCAGGTGTCCATGGGGAGTTCAGGGGCAGTTCTCTTTGAGGAACTATGGGGTTGTGTGTGTCTGTGAAGGAACCAGAAGACTGGCCAAAATGGAAATTCTCTAATGAAACCAGTGCACATAGTGAGTCCTTTACTGGTAGCAGAATCTTAGGCAAAGCAACTCCTAGAATAATGCTGTCACTTGGGAAATCAGTCTGAGTTCTGTAGGGGCCAGTGTTCTGAGTGAATTATCTAGGATTTATCTGGGAATATGGTCTAGGGCAGACTTAAATCTTCCCACTTCAATGCACCCTTTGCCTGAGGAACAGAGATGGACTGCAGGGTTTAACACAGTGGTCAGGAAGCTGGGTGGGCTCATCTGTGTGGATCTGAAGAAGCCAAGGGCTGAATCCTGGAGGCTGGGGTTGAAGTCACCTTCACCTCGGAGTAGATTACAGGGGAATCCTGCAGGGGTTCGGGGTTGGGGGTAGTGAGGGAAAAAAGCACAGGTGAGAATAGAGATGGGGGAGGGACCTGTGGGGAGGGTATTCTGGTCACAGAACTCACCTCATTCTTGACACTCCTTAGTCCAGAGGCCACTATGGAGAGAAGGGAAGCGGTCAGTCATTAAAAACCCTTAAGAGCTCCCTCCTTGAAGTCGCAGTTGTTTCTGGGGGTCCTCCCACCCATACCTAGGAGATGACTTCTCTCTCTCTCTCTCTCTCTCTCTCTCTCTCTCTCTCTCTCTCTCTCACACACACACACACACACACACACATCCTCCCTTCCTGTCCTATTATGTCCCTTTCCTCAGATCTCATTTATTCACAGCTTTCTCCAACTTTTTCCACATCAGTACACACTGTCAAAGACCTGACTGTGAAAAAATTGTCTTTAAGTTGCAATGTTGCTTGAAATTAAGATGGAAAAAGTAGGCATGGGTCACAGAAAGGGCTGAACTTTCAAAGCTGAGAGGCAAAAAACATGTTTTCCCATACAGCATCCAGGAAGGCAGCCCTAGTTAGACTGTCATTTTAGCCAAGAGACCTGCATCTGACTTTTGACCTCCAGTACAGTCAAATAATAAATTTTTATTACTTAATTCCACCAAGTTAGTGGTCATTTGTCACAACAGCAGTAGAAAACTAGTGCAGGTCCTGTCCCATTTCAAAAATGTGAACTTGGACATTCTGAAATGAAATGACCATCAAGGGCAATGGTTTTGCTACTTAGTGTACATACACAAGGTCATCTGCAAGGAATCAGAAGTCTGCGTGGTGGGTTTGGGTGAACCAGCTGTATATGCAGGAAGATTGAGGTGGCCCTGTGACCTTTCCTGAGCTTTAAACAAACAGATTCTGAGTCAGGGACACACTGAGAAATCATTAAAATCCAGGAGTACTCGGGTCTTACCTGTAGGTTTATTCGTCTCTTTAATACTCTTGACTTCGGAGTATACCACATCTCCTCCACTAAGATTTACTTGGAAAATAAAGTTGAAATTTGAGATAATTCTGAGTTTTTTCCCCCTTTGCTGGAGCTTCTTCTTCCTCCTCTAGCCTGTCCTTGGATAGTTAGCGGTCTGCAGGCCATTGCACATCTCCTCTCACCCCTTAACACACCCTCCCTGGGCTCCGATCAGATGCAGGGTCCTCAATCTCACCATTGCTGTACATTGGTTGCAGCTCTAAGTAGGCTGGTACATTGGAGTAGGTAGGCTCTTGGGGATTCAACTCTGAATGATTCCTATGAGACAAACATTGATGTTTCCCAGGAATTCGGAAAAAAGTTAGCTAGAACAACAATTTCCGACCTTAAACTTCTTACCTTGGGGTTTCTGCCAAACCCAGAAATATAAGCGAACATGTAAAGATAGTCTATTATTAGAAATGTCTTTATTTTTTATATACTAATAGCTTATAGGTAATTGTAAAGTTTATATTTATTATATAGCTATATTATAAATCATGATTAAATTAATATAAATTGCTTTCATATTTTATGGTGCCAGTTGATTCTGTTATTGCTCCTATTTTATAAATTAAGAAATGGAGATTTTAAGCATTAAACTGATTGATTAAGGAATGTGATCAGATAAAAAAAGAACGAAGTCTCAAACTGGTCCCCGAGACTGCTCTCAGATAGATGAGGACTTCAGAGAAGTCAGAATTGGGAAAGATTCAAAGACACTTGGGATAGCTGCTCCCATAGATATAGACTGGGAGCTGGGGTGTGACTATTGGCATCACATGGCAACCCCTTCCTCATATGCTGCCTACTGCTGGCTAAGAGATATCTCTGGGAGGCAAATAAGTGAGTTCATCTTTTCTGCTGACATCACAGGTTTTGGCTACATAGGCCACTCTCAGGTCTTTCTAGCACTTTTCAGGTTCGTTCAGCTATGACCACCTTAGGACATGAATAGATTTAGTAATCAAATGGTCACTTAGACAACCAAAGCAAGAATGATATAAGGCTATAAATAATAAAGTGAAAAAAAACCCCCATTAGCCTGTGATCCCTAAAGAAGGGCTCTGTATCTATAGTGAAAAATAACAAAGTGTTATAAATTGCCTTGAGATTTCTCAAGGGAAATGACACAGGACATGGGAACTATCCACCTTGGTAATACACAGCAGCAACTGTGCTTTTCAATTGCCATCAGATTTAATTCTATTTAAAAATTATTTAGGTATTTTATTAGCCACATGATTGCAGCCCAAGTCTTACCTAGTGGGGTCACAAGAAGGTCCTCCTGTTGCAAGGGAAAGCATAAGGGCATTAGGTACAGAAAAGTCTGCCTTCACAAGGTACATGGTTGGAAGGAGGTGCACCCAGATACAACTAGGAGTTGCTGTCAGGGAGTTGAACCCTTATTTATTCTGCCAAAGGGCAAATTGGGCAAAAATTATATATATCTTTATATATTTGTATGTTTCTTTATATAAATATATGTACACACACACACATATATATATAAATTACGTATATAAGGACATCAGATTCTGGTTTTCTTATACAAGATGATCTTGAAACAATAACATAACAATGCATAGATATGATAAGTAATAGGAGTCAACAAGTTAAAGTTAAGTTATATCAGTAACTTTTAACCTAGAGTTTGTAAAAACAATGAATGTTCAATAGCTGCATGCAAGAAAATAGTCATGATTTGAAAATCAGGTTGTCAAATCTCACTTGGTTTTTGTTTTCTCATGTTTCTCAGAGTCATTTTTCTCCTCTTCCTGGAGGAAGGGGCATGTAATATTTACCTTTTGACTCTGAGAAGCATAAGTAAAAATAGTCTCTGCAGCTTATACTATTGTACAGAGCAGAACTTTTTCAACTTTTCCCACTCCTGACCTTTTATTCACCTGAAAAATGCAACACTGGTGAGCTCTGCCAGAAATACCTCCCGTTCCCTACGTAGTTACTTTTGAGTTGATGTTTTGTTTCTGTGTAATTAGAAACATTTACAGTTGTTAAATTTTTCATGACCTCACTCTTCAATTGTGCAACGTCATATGGAGTTGTGATCCACAGTTTAGGAGTTTAAGAGCGAGAGAGACTACGTTTTTCAACCAAGAGAGCTTTAAAATATATATATATATATATATATATATATATATATATATATATATATATTTGAGCTTGGTAAATACAAGCTCCGGAGGACTGAAGGGGGTGTGAGTTTACATGATTGTGATTTAATCTGTTGAGAGTTTGAGGGCAGTTAGAAAAAAGCATGAGCCTGGTGGAATGGAACTGGCAAGGACAGCTACACACCTGCTTTCTTCCGGATCCAGTGATAGAGCAGAAGTGTCACCGCAGCAAGGCCCATCATGCCGAGCAGCCCCCCTGTGACGCCTGCAGTGACAGAGCCACTTCTGTTCTCTGTTAGCCCTGAGAGGAAGACCCAAATTCAAGATATTATGAGAAGTTACTATGAACAATTTTACATGGTTAAGCGGGAGAACCTGGAAAAAAAATGAACAGTTCCCTAGGATCTATAATATCCCAAAAAAGAGTGAAAAGAAAGTAAAACACTTGAAGAGTTCAATCACAAGTAAGGGAATGGAAATTGTTATCAAGATTCTATCCAAGAACAGAAGTCCTGGTACAGATGGGTTGACTGATGAGTTCTATCAAACCGTTAAAAAAGTTATATTACTTTTGCTCCTCCTATTCTCCTATTCTCTAAAAATATTGCAGAAATAGGAATCCTTTCTAACAGCTTATGAAGGTAACATTTCACCAAAACCCAAAGCAGATAGAGACACTAGCAGGAAAGAAAATTTCAGACCAATTGTCCTGTTCATCAACAAAAAAATCTCATCAAAATTTTAGTGAACCAAATCCAAAAATATCAAAAAGATCACATACCACCATCAAGTGAGATTTATCCTAGAGATGTAAGGATGGTTAAATGCATGAAAATAAATTCACATAACACGTCACATTAATAAAAGTAAAGATGAAAATAAAATGATCATATTAATCAATGCAGAGAAAGCTTTTGACAAGATCTAATATTCATTCATGATAAAAACTCTCAAGAAAGTAATATCTTCAATAACAAACTCACTTCCAGTATCATTCTCAATAGTGAAAAATTGAAAAATTAACTCTGATATCAGAATAAAACCAGGATGCTCATTCCCTTAATTTTTATTCAATATAATATTAAAAGTCAAAGCTATTAACAATCAGGCAAACAAAAGAAATGAAAGGGATCCAAATTGGAAAGAAAGAAGTCAAATTATCACTACTAGTAGATGACAGACTCTAAAAGGTAGCAGACTCTAAAGGGTCCACAAAAAAAGCTCCTAGAAACAATAAAGCAGCCATTAGGCTACAGAGTCAACACACAAAAATCTGTGACTATTCGGTTTTTCCAACACCATTTAAGAGGCAATCTGGAGCTCAAAGGTATTTTCAACGATATGAGTCCATTGGCAAAGGCAACAAAAACCAAAAATAAAGAAGTAAACTATGGAAAACTAAAGCATTTCTATATGGAAAAAGAAATACAGACTAAAACTAAAAACACCCAACTAAATGGGAGAAAATATTTGCATTCAAGACATCAGATAGAGTTAAAATCCAAGATATATAACCTTCAAGATACATACTCACACAGATTACCAAGGAAAACATACAAAAATTCTATCAAAAATGAGGAGAAGAAATTAACATTTTCCTAAAGACAGACAGATGACCAATAGGCACCTAAAATGCTCCTCACCACTAATTACCAGGGAAATTCAAATCAATACAACAATGAGATACCAGCTCATACCAGTGATAAATGGCACATATGAAAAAGAAAAACTGTGAACAGTCTGTGTTGGTGGGGCTGTGGTCAACTAGGAACTCGCATGCATTGCAGATTGGAATGTTGTCTGATTCAACCCGTATGGAAAACAATATGAATATCTTTCAGAAAAGTAAAAGTTGAGCTGCCGTATGACCCATAAATTCTACTTCTCACTATCTATACCGGGGCTGGAGCGATAGCACAGCGGTAGGGCGTTCGCCTTACAAGCGGCCAACATGGCCGTCCCAAGTTCGATTCCTCCGCCCCTCTCGGAGAGCCCAGCAAGCTACCGAGAGTATCTCGATATGCCAGACACAGTAACAACAAAGTCTCCAATGGAGACGTTACTGGGCCCGCTCGAGCAAATCGACGATCAACGGGAGGGCCTTTACCTTTTTACCTTTACTATCTATACCTAGGACACAAAAAGTTCATTGAAAAGGACACATGCACACCCCATTTTTCATTGCAACTAAGCACAGTAGCTAGGCTATGGAATCAACTTAGGTGTCCAAAGAAAAATGAACAGATAATGGAATATTTGTGGTATATAAATAAATGGAATACTGACAGAATGATGGTATAGTGGATAGGGTTTGTCTTGCACACAAACTGATCTGGGTTCAATCCCCAGCATCCCATTTGGTCCCCTGAGCACTGCTAGGAGTAATTCCCAAGTGCAGAGTCAGGGGTAATCCCTGAGCAGCCACAGGTGTGACCCAAAAAGTCAAAGTAAATTTATAAAATAGAATACTATTCAGTTGCAAGCAGCAATGAAATGCAATTTTAAGCAACTTGGATGGAGGTATCACAAATATTCTCATGTATGTGAAGTAAGCCAAACGGACAAATACTGAATAATTTCACTTATCTTCAGTATTAAAAATATGAGGATGAGGAAGTGCAAGGTATCAAAGTGGGTATTACTAGATTGCCCTTGACCATAAAGTATAGACATATGGACAGGGGTGTAGAATAACATAGCCTTAGGTAGTTTAGATTTATTGGGTTGTTCCCATCACTGTGCTTCCTTTCCTCTGTGTTTATTTGTAACCTCTTTCTTTGTGCTCTGTTGATTTGTTAATATTGTTTTTCTCTTCCCCTTAACTCCTTTGTATAGTATATTCAGAGAAATGTCCTTTTTGTATGGGCACAGGAAGACAGTAGTAAATGCTATGCTTTTGTTATGTGGGAGTCATTTGACTCTAAATAATAGTTTCCTCCTGGGCATCTGTTCTCTGGATATAAGCCTCAGCTGCCCTTACTTCCTAGCACCCCCCAAAGCAGAGTCCTGATAAGAGACTGGATGGACCCAGGGCAAGCAGTGAGCTAGCGAGATGGGTCTGGCCAAAATGCCTAATGCTTAACTATAAGTTAAGAGCTTGGTCATGGACAAATGCTGCCATGATCCAAAAAATAATAACTATATTTGAAATCTGCTAGGGTTAGGGATGATTAATCTGGCCTGAGCGCTGTAGTCTGAGTCTGTGGCAAGATGTTGCCAGGAGAGCTGCCCTACAACCTTCAATGTATCTCTTACTGTGTCCATACAAAAATAACTAAAGGAGAAAAACACCTTAAGAGCTATTTTGCCAGTGGGCGGTCAGGAAGGGCTTCCTTATGTTGTTTATGCTTCCAGACCAGGTGAAGCATGAGCCTGGAAGGCAAGGTGGAGAGGTATAAGTAGGAGCTGAGAGAGAAGCAGATGGGGAGCAGTCAGAGTCAGAATTGAGATAGGCGTCAGAATTGAGAGAGGGGAGGAGGAACCCAGGTTGAGAAACACAGCCTGAACAGTTGAGCAGGAGAGATGAGCAGGGATCAAGGGAGAGTTGAGCAGGAGAGATGAGCAGGGATCAAGGAATGAGGGGCAAGGAAGGAATAAGTGAGATTGGAGAGATGAGAGATGGAATAAATGGTAACCAATCAGCAACCACCCTGGTCCTCGTTCTTCCTTCACCTACATTTACATTTACATTTACATTTACATTTACATTTACATTTACATTGCCTACAGTTGTCCCGCCCATTGCCTACAGCTGTCCCTGTCCATACATAGTGGCTTGAGAGCACAGAACTCAGGCGGTGGGAGAGAGCTGCCCTGAGTGCCTTTGAACACACATCCTTCTGTGGGTGAGTTCCTTACACAGGGGAATGAAGAAATTGGGCGGGGTTGGAGAGTTGGGAGAATAGTAAAAGATAGATCAAATACATCAGGGTAAGGGTCAGGGACCTCAGTCACATGGACGACATAGAGGCATGGTATATCTATATATTTAAACAAAAAAGCCAACCACATAAAGTATTATATCTAAACTATAACATCCAAACTTTAAAATGTGCCTGTCAAGGAGGTAAGCTATGGTGTTAGAGGGTATCTGGGTACACTTGTAGAGAACAATTGACATGGTGGTGGGACTGATGTTGGAACACTCTATCCCTAAAATTCAACTATGTGTAACTTTGTAAATGACAGTTAAAAAATTAATTTTGAAAAAGTTGAGGAATCTCTTGTTCAGATTGATAGTGAGCAATGAGAGAAGCAGTTAGCTGATGAACACGATATTTGGTAATACTTTTTACCAACCTCCTCATCTTCCTCAAGGACCATCACTTTAGGAATGCTTTAGAAAATAACATGGAACGCTCCTAGCTCTATCTCTTGAGAAGCGCTGTCCTGGCTAAGCATAATGAGGATTCACCATATACTTGGAGAAAATGTGTTTTTTTCTTTGTTTGTTTACAAATGTAGCCTGAGTATAACATACCTGTGATATAAATTTCCACCACCTTACTGAGCTGGTCTCCCACATCATTGATGGCCTGGCAAGAGTAGTTTCCAGAATGTTCTGCTGTCAGAGAGAGATTGAAGGATGTTCCTCCTTCAGAGATGACTGAACTGTTTTTCAGGATGACGTCTTCATGGTAAAATCGGTATGTGATGGGAAAAGAGCCACTTCGCACCTCACAGTGAAGTTCTACCACATCCCCCACCACAGTCTGGGCCTGGGGAGCCCTGAGGGTGAGGATTGGGAGAGACACTGGAACTGAGAGAGAAAATGTCAGTTGAAGCTGCTATTCCTAACATGTTCACAGTATTTTTTTTTTCATTTTTTGAAACCACACTCAGTGCATGAGCTGATTCCTAGCTCTATGTCCCTAGCTGTGCTAAGAGAACCATGTATTGTTGGTGATGGAGCCTAGTCACCTGCATGCAAAGTATGCACTTCAAATCATTGAGCTATATCTCCATTCCCCATCACATTCATAAAAGAACAAAAATTACTAACAAATGGTGAACTTTAGGTTCCAATCTTGGAAAACATCTTGAAATACCTATGACAGACAAAGATCATGAGCTTAAACTACAAAAGACTTTTCAATGTACAAAAACATCTGACAGTAAAGTGTGAAATTGGTATGAGTCACTGAAAACTTCAAAGGTCATAAACAAAGATTATCATTCCATTACTAATTAAATACAAATAAAATCACTCATCAGTTCTGAAAAGCTTAAAATGACAACACTTATGAGGTTGTATATAAATAGATATCTTGATACACTTAAGGTGGGAATGAAAATTTGAGATGCTTCCTTGAATGACAATATGTCAATACATACCAAATTTAAATTGCATATATAAAATTTGACTTAGAAAATACGAAGGAAATCTTATTTTATTTAGGGGTAATAACATAAAATGCATGAAAATATCTTATTTTGGGGATTTCTATTATAGAATTTGGATAATAGCCCCAAACTAGAGATAGCATAGGTGACTGGCTAATGAAACAGAGAAGCTATTAAATATATACATGGGGGGCTAAAGTGATAGCACAGCAGGAAGGTGTTTGCCTTGCATGCGGCCAACCCGGGTTCGATTCCCAGCATCCCACATGGTCCCCTGAGTAATTCCTGAGTGCAAAGTCAGGAGTAACTCCTGTGCATCGCCAGGCTTGAACCAAAAAGCAATAAATAAATAAATAAATAAATAAAATAAAGATATACATGTACAGCTTATCTAAATTAAAGATGTATTTGTAAATGAAAATGCAAGTTTTATAATTCTTCAATATGATTATACTGCCCTAAAAATTCTATGCCTTTAGATTTATAATATAGTTTAATATTTCTAGAATATACTTGATATCACAGTGGCTATATCTTAGAAGTATGTATTTATGTAAATGTCTAAATTCAGGTAGAAAGGAACTTTCATTTTTCTATGTTTTTCCTGTTGTAACTTTTGATATTTATCATGGCAATAAGTATTCTGAAAGAATAATAAATTATTCTAAATTATAAATTGATGTGGTTCAAAACCAAAGATAAATAAATGATGAATATACTTGTAAATATATAAGCACATAACAATATTAAGAGTGGGCTCTTTTTCTTCTGAGACTATTCATGCTATATATAAATGTGGGGCTTGTTTGCATACCTGGTGATTAAAGGAGTTCAAGAGTGAGAACCACTCAGGGATAAATGAGAGAATAATCTGGACAAGATAATGGCTAAACCTTTTTTTTGTGCAGGAAAACCCCACATGAAAAAAATTTTAGTTTCCCTCGGTACCATGATTGCAAATTGTTATATAGTCTATGTTCCAAGAAACCTTTTCAAAAGGAATTATTATCAGTCAAGAAGACTGTTAGAACTTAGAGCTGGAAGGTTCAGGTTTCAAAACAGTAACTGCTGGACGGATTCTCACTTCCCAGTGGAGATTCTGTAGCAGCTAGATGCCCCAAGAATGTACGGAAGTGTTGGCACTGCCTGTCATCTCTTAGGGGTGAAGGAAATAAGAGCTTGATGCTGCAACTGGTGGAAGGACCAATTCACCTGTGACACTGAGGGTCACTACCTCACTTCTCTGGGCTCCCAGACCGTTGTCAGCCTCACAGGAGAAGTTTCCAGAATGTTCTGCCATCAGAGAGATGTTAAAGGATGCTCCTTCACCAGCGGGGGCTGGGTTGCTCCCCAGGGAGACATGTTCATGATAAAACTGGTACAGGATCGGGGGAGAGCCACTCCAGACCTCACAGTGAAGCTCCACCATGTCCCCCACCACAGCCTGGACCCTGGATGTCCTGAGGGTGAGGACAGGGCGGGAGACTGGAACTGAGGGGAGATAAAAACCATCAGCAACCACTGTTCCAATATGTTTGTCCATTGTAAAGAATTTTAAAACAGGAAAATGTTTTTCTGGACCTAGGGTATCATTCAGAACACAGCCTCTTTAGGAAGAGAAGGGATTTAGTATAGGATGAATACAAGTCTTAAGAAATTAATTTGAGTGGTAGGAGTCAGGGAAGTAATTTTATAGGAGGGAGTAGAAGTATTAATAACTTGGGGTTTCTTTTGAGGCATGATTGGAGGAAATTTTGGTCAGATAAGTGAAATAGTGTGTGTATGTGCTAGTGTGAGACTGACCTGAAGTGGTTGGTGAGTGAGATGGTGGCTTGTGTTGAATGAGTAATCATGCAGACACTAGAAGCATGGGATAATAGCAGAATGAGTTAGGTTGAGTGTGGCGCCAAGTCTGAGGTGAGAGTGGGTGTAACTCTAGGGTTATCCCACAACATGGTTAGGTAGGACATCTAAGAGGGCAGCATGGTGATGTTGGAAAAATTTTAGCAAGACTTTTGAGTGGAAGCCTGAGCTGTCCTGGGCCAGCTGGAGCAGTTAAAATATTGTGAAACAACAGAATATCAGGGGAAAGCCTGATAAAATAATGAAGGTAAAACAAAACAAAACAAAACCAACTAAATGTAAAACCCAGAACTCCCAGAAGTAGGCTAATTAGATAGCACATGAGCTGTCATGATACCACATAGCAAATGGCCCCACGGAACCTAGTGTTGAGGCTATTGTGGAATGCTGAGGAGATGATCAGTTTCTGTTTGTGCTGGAGTTGGAAGGGAAGGGCTGACTGACTTACCTTTGACATTGAGTGACACTCTGTCACTGTGCTGGGCCCCCAGGCCATTATCAGCCTCACAGTAGTATTTTCCGGAATGTTCTGTGGTCAGAGAGAGGTTGAAGGACACTCCTCCTCCTAAGGGGGCTGAGCTGCTCCCCAGGGAGACATCATCATGGTAAAACTGGTACAGGATTGGGGGAGAGCCTTTCTGGGCCTCACAGTGAAACTCTACCAAGTCCCCCACAATAGCCTGGGCGTGCGGAGTCCTGAGGGTGAGGACAGGGCGAGGCACTGGAACTGAGGGCAAACATGAGTTAGTTGATACCAGTATTTGTTTTCCAAAATTTAAAAGCCCTCTGTATCAGAAAACAAAATTCTGTGAATTTCTATAAAGTAAAAATTGCACAAGGAAAAAATAAAAATATTCTTATTTCTTTTGGTTTCATTTCCTAGAAGTGAACTCAGTTGCGATTCTTTATCTTTTCAGTGCTTTCGATTCTTTACCTTTTCAACACTCATCAACATATGAATAAGTATAAAAGTTCTGTACAGTGCTTTGGATCACAATATATATCATAATACATATACAGGTCCATGAACTGATTTTTCCTTTTAGCAACATATTATGTAGCACTGTAGCACTGTCTTCCCGTTGTTCATTGATTTGCTCGAGTGGGCCAGTAACATGGCGAGACTTATTACTGTGTTTGGCATATCAAATACATCATGGGTAGCTTGCCAGGATTTTGCGGGCAAGATACTCTCAGTAGCTTGCCAGGTCTATGAGAGGGGCGGAGGAATCGAACCTGGGCCGATGGGGTTGGCCGTGTGCAAGGCAAACGCCTTCTTCACTGTGCTATTGCTCCAGCCCTAACATACTATGTGTATTAGTAATAATGTATGTTACTGTTACTGTCACTGTCACTGTCCTCCTGTTGTTCATTGATTTGCTTGGGTAGGCACCAGTAATGTCTCCACTGTGAGACTTGTTGTTACTCTTTTTGGCATATCGAATACACCATGGTTGCTTGCCAGGCTCTGTGGGCGGGATAATCTCGGTAGCTTGCTGGGCTCTCTGAGAGGGATGGAAAAATCAAACCCATGTGGGCCACGTGCAAGGCAAACGCCTGACCTGCTCTGCTGTCGCTACAGCCCAACGTATGTTACTATATAAAATATATATTTCATTCACTTTTAAATATATACTTTATTTTTACATATAATTTGAGGCACAATTTTCACACTATAAAATGCAATATTACTTTTTTTCATTTTTACTTTAAATTAAATTTTTTTCTATTTTTTTATTTTATAAAGTAGTTCACAACATTTAATATTCAAACACTAATCCCACCACCATTACAACTTCCCACCACCATATTTTGGATGTTTCCATCTTGAACCCCAATCCCTGCCCCAAAGCAGAGCTGAAATAATATATTTTGTATAGTTTGTTATGAAAAACTGCTGAAATTGCTACAAAAAAGTATTCTTAGAGGAAAGAGGATGAAGATTGTTTTAGTTCACCCAGGGGCCATTAAGCCCTTCTATAAGAGATCACTAACATGTTGTTAGAAGTTGAGCCTTGTGTGTTTTGTATATATATATATATATATATATATATATATACACACACACACACATACATGCATACATATGTGTGTGTGTAAAAATATTTCTTATAATATTGGTTGCTTCCTACTTTGAACTCCATCAAATGTGGTACGGTACTCTTAGAGTATGGATGTGTGTGGGGGTGTGGTATGAAGTGTCGGGGCCGTGGGATCAAGGAATAGGTCCATTCGTGGGTGAAGCTCAGCCCGAGTGTGTGGAGAGTGGCCATAAGTGTGGCAGTGATTGAGTTCTGGAGGTTTTCGACTGCTGGGGCTGGGTCCCTCGGGGTGGAGAGGAGTCTCACCTGCCCTCCTCCAGGGTGCCCTGACTGAAACAGCCAGGCACTGGGTCCAGCATAAAATGCAATAATAAAGTTATAATATGATCATTTTGGGTAACTATTACTTAATTATTATAATAGCCACTGTATGGATTACCATAATACACATGTTACTCCCATTAATGGACATTTATGGTGCTGCTGTTTTCTAGTTAAAAAATGCTATTTATATGAAATAATGTATAATACTATGCATACAAATAAATATTTGAAATATACATAAGTGTATAGTTGTGTATACACAGTTTTAGAACAAATTCTTAGAAGTGGGTTTTTTGGAGGTGAGTGCTATAGGAGTGATATAAAATTGATCTTCAAAAGTTTGAAACTGCCTTTCATCCCCAATTGCCAAGGGACCCTGGAGGTCACGCTCATAAACTGCCTCTGGCTGCTACTTAAGCTCTTTAACTGCCATGATCCAGAGACACACAAAAGAATCTCTGAACTGAGTAGCTCTCTGCAGAGATGCCCCGGGACTTTAAGCCAGGCTGACTGGGGGGCCTCAGAAGGAGGCAGGGGCCTTAAAACCCGGTGACTGCCAACTTCCAGAACCCTATGAGAAGTGCAGGTGTGCAGGTTCTGTGACAACAAACTCCAGACCTCAAGGGATAGGGGATAGACGGAGCCTTCTCATAACCCCTCCCCCACTCCCCATCCTCAAGGGACACTGGAGGTCACACCCACAAACTGCCCCCAGCTACTATTTAAGCCCCGTAACAGCCACGATCCAGAGACTCACAAAAGAATCTCCGAACCGAGCAGCTCACTGCAAAGATTTCTCCAGACTCTTAATCTTAATTTTTAGAATTCCAGGAGCACACAGCTGCTCATGTGGGTGTGCAACATCTTATGCTATTCATAACAAGTAATACAAGAGAGAGTATGGAGGAGACTGTCTGCCATAGAGGCAGGGGTGGGATGGGGGGGTGTACTGGGGAAGGATGGAAAGGGGGGGATACTGGGGACCTTGGTGATGGAAGATGTGCACTGGTGGAGGGTTGGGTGATTGATTATTGTATGACTGAAACCCAAACAGGAAAGCTTTGTAACTGTATCGCACGGTGATTAAAAATTATAGTAATAAAGTTCTTTAAAAAATAAAATTAAATTAACATACTGAATAAAAAAGTAATGTGGAGTTCACATTCAATTCAATCAGCTTAATCAATGGCTGAATAAATAGCAGTACTCCTACATTTTAAAAAATAAGTTTGGATCAATTAACACCTGCACTAATATGTTTTCTCCCTTTCTTATCAGTAGTAGACATAATAATCACCAGATGAATGCAGAAGTTTATTGTTTCATTTACTGCCTTGTCTAGTCTTAAATAGTTGACCAATATGGAATTAACTAATTCATTTTCCCCCCCATACTCTCCCTGCAACCCCTCTTCTATTTCTTAACTCATTCATTCTTATGTCATCCTATAATCTGCTAGTTGATTTTTTAAAAAAAATTTTGGCCACACCCAGTGATAATTAGGGTTTACTCCTGGCTATGCACTCTGTAATTACTCTTGGCAGTGCTCAGGGGACCATATAGGATACCAGGGATTGAGCCTGTGTTGGCTGCATGCAGGGAAGTGCTCTGCCTGCTATACTATCTCTCTGGCCCCTAATAATCTGTTAAATATTTGTAAATACATACAAAATGGAAATTTTCAAAACTAATTTTTAAAAAATCAAGTCAATTCATAGCACAGCGGGTAGGGCGTTCGCCTTACACGCGACCAACATGGCCGACCCGAGTTCGATTCCTCCGCCCCTCTCGGAGAGCCCGGCAAGCTACCGAGAGTATTCGATATGCCAGACACAGTAACAACAAAGTCTCCAATGGAGACGTTACTGGGCTCGCTCGAGCAAATGGACGATCAACGGGAGGGCCTTTACTTTACTTATTGTTCTTTATTTTTCTCTATTATGAAATAATAATCACAAGATGATTATTGTTCTTTTGTTTCTTCTCCCTCTTACAAAATGACTTTTCTTTGTAAAATATAATTTCTTACATTTTTGTTCACTAGATTCCAGATGCTGGTTGAGGACCAGGTGTGTAATGAAGACTAAAACTGATGTGGTGCCATTCTTTTATTGTGCAGAAGCCATTTAGTTTGCTGTACTCCAAATGGTTTACTTTTGCTTTTGTTTTACTTGCCAATGGAGTCAAATCATTAAACACATCACAGAAACCAATATTTCTGTGGAATGATAATTCTTATGTGTTTATGGAATGTTTTCTTTTAAGTATTTATAGAACCAGCTCTTTTTTAGTAAACTGTTGTGCCTGGTACTAATTTAAGTCTTTTATTGGTAACTAGTTTTCCCAGAACTATTTATAAAAACTTTGCTCTCTCCATTTAATGCTCTTAATACTTTCCATAAATGAACATACGGGTATATTTCTGGTATTTCAATCCTAGTTCATTGTTTTTACTTGCATTTCTTGCAGTATAACACTGTTTTGACTATTACTTTTATAAAGTAGTTCAAAATGAGGGAATATGGTATCTCATGCTTTTTGTTCACTCAGGATTACTTTGACAATCAGTAAAGTTTTATGGTCATATACAAAATTTAGTAATTATTGTTCTATTTTCTGGGAGAATGCCATTGATATTTATACCTAGAAATTACATTGAATCTGCATAACGCTTTGGAGGTGTAAGAAAGAGAACCTGAGAATATTGGTGGAAGGAAGATTAATTGGGTTGGTGGGATTGATGTTGGAACATTGTATACCTGAACTCAATCACAAATAACTTTATGAATCATAGTGCCTTAAATTTAAAACTATAAAATACTGAATATTGTGCCTGGAGGAAAGATATAATTTAATTTATAAGATTTTTTAAAAGACATAGGGAAATAGAAAGACATTTCATGTACATAAATTTGAAGTACAGCTCTAGCAATGAGTCAAATTACATTGGTAGTTGAGGAAGAAGCTGAAATACAGAGAAATATGTCATACCCAGAATTCTAAGACGGTTGATTCTAGGGTTAATAGAAGTTTTGAGGGAAGATATTATGAGCTAGAGGGAATACGTGGGAAGGAGCAGCAACAGTTATGGGGCAGAGAAATAGAAAGAAAATAATAAACTAGGACACAGCAAAACATAAGTTTCTAGGTCACTGGGTTTCAAGATAATTTGCTTTTGAAAAATAAATTATATTTGGAGCCATCTTTAGCTCTTCAGTGAACTTTGCTGAGCTGTCTTTCCTATTTTTCTTACTCTCGTAGCATATCCCCTCTCGCTGGAAATTCCTGTGATCTCTCTTTTTCTCTAATGAAGAATGGTCTGATGAGACTCAGTTTATTTATCAAACTTTCTTCTTCCCATAAAAGAAAACTATTCTTTCACCTTTTGTTTTTTAAAAAGAAAATTGAACTTCTATCTATTAAGCAAAAAGCCCAAATGTAAACATAGCCAATTTTACTACTAAAATCACGTTTTTATTAGATGGATTTCCATGATCTGTGCATTGATGGTGGACATACATTTCTAGAGTATGTCATATTTCAACAAAAAATTAAAAACTTTGGGGCAGAGTGATAGCACAGTGGGTGGGGCACTTGCCTTGCACGTGACAGACCTGGGGTTGATACCTGGCACCACATATGGTTTCCTGAGCCCCACAAGGAATGATCCCTGAGTGCAGAGTCAGAAATAAGCCCTGAGTACAACAAGTCATGGCCCCAAAACAAAAAGAAAAGAATTTTAAGACATAATATTTTAAAAAGTACTCTTATTTTAATGAATCGAAATAAGGAATCACAGAAATGCAAGAATACAGAGAAGCTGGTTTACATGGAACAATTTTCTTCCTCTCCTTCACTACCAGTCCTCCCTGACCCAAACCTCTCAGGGAAAGCATGAACATATTGGGAATTCTTTGGAGAGAGTAAAGTCTTCTCCACATTTTGTTCATTTAATTGAATCTATAGTTAAGTTGAAATGTGTTAGTGAGGAAATATGAGATGTTTCTGTGAACTGAATTAAAAAAATTGATTTGGGTCAAAAACTTATAGAGCATGATAAGGTAATTGGAGAACAGTTTCATTTGGCAACAATTGGTGAATGTACTTAATTGTTTCAGGGGTGCTACCTGGGGACTACCTGAGGACTGAAGCCCACATGTGGCTAGTTTTGTGATGGGGAGTCAAGAGGGGAGTAGAGATAGAAGTAGAGTAGAGATAGAAGTTGGAAGTTCCTTGTAAATTCTGAAGAATGACATGAGAGGAATCTGGGTCAAGGATGAGAGACTATCAAAAGACAACATCCAGAGACTCTGAAAGAAAGTTTCCAGAAGAGAGTGACATAGACTGTCCTGACCCCATGCCAGGCTGTCTTCACTGGGGCAGTTCAGAGGGGGACGAATTGAGTTTCCCTCCCTGTCCCAGAAGAACCCCGGCAGCGGAAAACCTTCAGAACTCAACCACAGCCATGTTCAAGGCCGCTCTACACAAGCTTGGAGCCTCACCCACAAGAGACCCTGCAGAAAAACCCAGGTATGTGGGACTCGTGACTGAGATCTCCAAGTTCGCTCAGAGAAGGACTGAGCCTCCTCTCCCCAGCTCCCAAGTTTTCCAGTAGCTTGGCAGTCACACCCACAAACTGCCGCTGGGAAAAATATAATCTAATCAATGGCCAAAAAATGAGTGACATAGGCCATACCTGTGAGTGAATCTGCTCTATAATCATATTCTAAATTTTAGAATTCTGCACCTCTCATACTCTAGCCCACTGATGTACCAAAAGTAGCACACATTTGTTTGGGTTTAACATACATCCTTGTAATCACTTACACAAGGGCTTAAATGACTCCAGGATTAAATACAACAATCTTCACAAACTTTCCTCTTATGGTGATGGGAAAGTGCATGGTAATGGGATTGATGTTTGAATATTAAATGCAATGAATTATTGTGAACAACTTTATAAAATAAAATTATGAAAAATGAAAAAAAGAAGGATGAGAGACTAGCAGAAATCCAAGACTTACCAGCGACAAACAGGTTCACCGCTTCACTGTGCTGAGAGCCAAAGCCATTGTTGGCTGTGCAATAGTAACTACCTGAATGAGCTTCAGTCAGGTGGAAGCTGAAGAATGCTCCTTCTCCAGAGGCAATTGTCCTATCTTCCAGGATGACATTCATGCGGTAAAACTTGTAATTGATGTTGTGTGAACCTCTTTGGGTTTCACAGTGCAGCGTCACTATGTCTCCCTCAAAAGCTCGGGCCCGAGGAATTTGCAGACTGAGAACAGGAGGGGACACAGGTACTGAGGGAGAAAAGGACTTGATCAATAAGTAGCTCTTGCCATTATACCCCAATAAGAGGTCGAATGCTCAGGCTCATCTCTACTGAACTCAAAGTGGCCCAGCTGCCATCCATACTTTCCTCAGCTGTTCTTTCCTAACCTTGCTGTTCTTCTCCTGATCTTTCCTTTCCTATCAGAACTGAAACATCTCTGTAATATTTCTGTCCTCCCTTCTTGGGTCTCTTTTCTACTTAGGTGGTCTAAACTCTTTTTTTCCAGGGGAACTACCTCTGATATTGCCATCCTTTATTTTGCTGCAGACACAGCCAACCCTCACTAGACCAGCCTGCCTCCTTTGTCCTCTGATTCCAGATGAGTCCCTCTGTCTATCCAAGGGAAGACTCTCCTTTGTTCTTGACCTTAAATCAGCTCACCTCAATCCTGGATGTAAATTCTCTACCTCACTTATTTCTTCCAAAACCATCTAGCTATATCTAATCCTCTCCAAATGCAAAAGAGAACAAAAACAACCCTTCACTTTACCATCTTTGCCTCTTAACCTCATAATAATTTTATTGTTCATTTGTCCCAAAAGATATATTAATTTGTCATGACTTTTTCTGTAGGCAATGACAATATTGATGATTAAGTTAATGATGATGATACTACTACTACTAATAAATTCTTATAATAGCAATTGGGTGGAGCGATAGCACAGTGGGTAGGGTGTTTGCCTTGCACGTGGCCAACATGTGGTTAGATTTCTCTGTCCCTCTTGGAGAGCCCAGCAAGCTACTGAGAGAACCCTGCCCTCAAGGTAGAACATAGCAAGCTCCATGTAGTATATTCAGTTCTTCTCTTCCCTTTTTTGTTTTTTAAATTTTTAAATTTAAAAAATTACTTTAATTGAATCACTGTGAGATAAATCCTTACAGAGATGTTTATGATTAGGTTTCAGTCATACAGTGTTCCAAAACCCATCCTTCCACCAGTGTACATTTCCCAGCACCAGTGTCCCCATCATCCCATCACCCATCTGCCCTCCAACACCCACCCCCACCCCCAGTCTGCCATCCTGCCTCTATGGCAGACACTTTTACTCTCTCTGGGTCTCTGTGTCTCTGTCTACGTCTCTCTCTCCCTCTCCAGTTCTTCTCTTTCATTATCCATCATGTCTGTTATTTTTACGTAAACTGGCACTTTCTTTCCTTGGTTTCTATATTACACACTTGCAGAGCATCATTAACTTTGTGCCATTGTGCTTGGGTGGGGGGCTTCTTCCTTTTGGAGTTAGTCTGCATATGGTTCTGCTGGATGCTTTCTTTGTGACAACTTTCCTCTATTCCTGTCTTCTCCTAGAATGGTTCTTTTTCCATTCCTTCACTCCAAAGTTGTCATGAAACTCCCATGCATGAAAACCTTTCATAAATGCCACAAATATTATTGACTAAGCAGCTACAAGTAAGCTTAACCTTTAAAGCATATCTAGAAGTCATCTATATTTCATACACAATCTTCAGAAGCCTCAGATTGACTAATTAATTCTTCAATCTGTACTTTTCAGGCACTGTTCAAATTGCTAGAATATGGAATAAGCCTAAGTGCCCAACTACAGCTGAGTAAAAAAAGAAGTTGTAAATATAGCCAATGGAGAGCAATAAGCAATATAAAGGATGAAATCTTGCCCTTTGAAATGACATGGATGGACCTGGAGTTGATTGTGTTAATACAACATAAAGAGAAATACAAAACACCACACAGTTGAATTTAAGTGTGGAGTTTAATAATATTTTTTATTGTTTTTTTGGGGGGGTTACATATTTAGTTGTGCTCAGGGTTTACTTATGGATCACTCCTGGCATTACTGAAAGGACCCTATGGAGTGCCAAGGAGCAAACATCTTACCTGCTATACTATGTTTCTGTTCCCAAATGTGGAGTCTAAAGAAACTAAGTAAACAAACTAATAAAACACAAAATAAATAATATATAACCCTTAAAAAGGATATGTGACAGTCAATATAACAGTCAATATAACAGTCAATAAATGACAGAGGGAGTTAAGTTGATGATGGTGAATGGTAGAAATCTGGTAGTGTACCTATTGTAGTATATACATCCATCAAGGTGTAAAACTTATCTTAAAACTTACAAAGTCTTCTCAACCCGCCCCCAGTGCCATCTTGCTGCACAAAGCAGTCAAGAAACCAGACCGGCGGGCTCCACAACAACCCGGAGAATTCTCTGGGCCCCATATCAAGCTGATGTCACTGGGAGGTCCCAGATGGGGCAGGTGCTGTCTCCCCACCTTCTCCAGATGGAACCTCGGCGACCATGAGCTTCTACAAGCATGGCTCCAGTATGTGGGCACCAGGACTATTCTTCCAAACTGAACTTTCCTGATATGCAAAGTGAGCAATGGAAAGTAAATTATCTAGCAACTGTCCCTGGAAGGCAGTCTTGAATGGTGGTGGGAAAATTCGAGCAAAATATGATGCCCAACCGAAATGCATCTGGGCTTTGCATTAAACTATGGTGCCATGCTGCCCAGGAGGGGAAGGGTATTTGTCCCTCTGCCTTTCCCCCCTGGCAGTGGCGACATGGTGGCCGCTATCTTTCAGAGCCTAATGGACAGCCAGGTATGAGACTGCAGTGAGGAGGTATGTGGGGCCTCATGGGACCAGAGGTGGAACCGGCCCTGCTCCCCGCCCTGACAAGGACCTGAGTTGCCACCCATGAACGCCTCCTCTGGCTCCTTAGTGACCATGATCCCAGAGGCACACAAACCAATCTCAGAACCCAGCAGCTTTTGGCAGCAATTTCTCCAGACTTATTACTAGAATATCAGAAATCCAAAATCGCCTGGCTGTAATAGCAGTTGCATGACATCACATGCTCTTCATAATCAGCAATAGAAAACAAATTATCTAATGATGTCTTTTTGGCAGGTCTGATTGTTGGGTAAAATTCCAAATAATAATGGTGAGTCTTTTATTTTTTATTTTTTTTTTGCTTTTTGGGTCACACCCCGCGATGCTCAGGGGTTACTCCTGGTTCATGCACTCAGGAATTGCTCCTGGCGGTGCTCGGGAGACCATCTGGGATGCTGGGAATCGAACCTGTGTCGGCCATGTTGGCTGAGTGCAAGGCAAACACCTTACCCGCTGTGCTATCGCTCCAGCCCCAATGGTGGGTCTTTTGTTGTAATATTGAATGTGATCAACGTAGAGAGAGAGTAAAGTGGAAATCTACCACACAGGCAGGGGGAGGAGTGGGAGGGGAATGTACTGGGGTTCTTGGTGGTGAAAAATGTGCACTCGTGAAGGGATGGGTGTTTGATCATTGTATGACCAACTGAGACTTAAACTGAAAGGCTTTGTGACTGTTCTCACAGTGATTCAATAAATAAAAAAATTTAAAAAAACTTACAATGTCTTAAAAATTAATGGTTCATCACAATAAACAACCAAATAAAACCCTTTTGAACTCACTATTGTTCTCTTAGTAAATCCCAAGCCCTCATAGGGCCGAGATATGCCTCTATTTTACTTCATCTCCTCATTCTTATTTATTTACAGTCATCTGAACCCACATCATTCCAGCTCCTTGAGAATTTTATCCTTCCCTCACCACATTTGCTTAGTACCTGGTGCCTCTACCTGAAACAACCTTTTTCTTTTTCTAAAATGTTTCCACACATCCTCCTCATATACCATACCTCACATTAGCCCTTCTAAGGAATTTGCTCTCATATCCCAGCCTAGATGGGGGCTGCACTTCAGATGCTAGTATCTCGAATCTCACTCCAAGTTGTGCTTGCCTTTCCCTTGTATCTGTGTTTGACTGGTTGCTAATCTACACCTGTTATTAGATTCAGGATTGGGTGCACAGATCCATGTTGGTCTAGACTTATGTCTCCTGATACATGATGACCTTCGTCAGTCTGGTATACAGTATAACATAAGTAATATTAGTGAATAAATGAGCCTTAGTATAAATTCTCGGAGAATTTTAGAATGATGTCATTTTTTCCAGCTTCCTTAGAATTCTGAATAAGAGAAAATAACAGAAGCAAACCATCTCTATTTATTTCAGTTGATGTCTCTTTACAGGGTTCCATGGATCCTTCTTTTAGAATCTTTTCATTATCAGTGTTCAAGGAATTGGATTCTGGCTTGTCTTCAGACTTTTTCTTGAGGACTGTGAGCCTTTAAATCAGTGCTCAGGGTACCCAGGAGGCATTCTTGCAGATTCTTGGCAAACAAAGCCAGATGGTTTAATGCTACTTGGGTCCAGAAGTACTAGAGGTCATCAGGGCCTAACTGACTAGGGACTGGGATCGAAGTGCCAGAGATTGAATTAAGGGTCTTGTGCATGCAAGACCACTTGGTTTTGTTATTTAAGAGAAAAAAAATCTGATATAATCTTTCATCTTAGTCCAGGACTAGAGTGTGCCCTCAATATAAGCCAAAATCCAGAAATGTGAATGGACTATTCATTAAATTACAGTGCTGTGCCCCCCCCCCCCCCCACGGGAGGAAAAGGGTGTCTGTTTCTTTTGCCTCCCCCATTCCCTACTCCCCGCCCTGGGCAGCACAGTGGCTGCCGCCTCCGAGCTTATTGGACAGGCCAGGTATGAGCCATCGGTGATGGGGTAACTGTGGCCTCATGGCATGGGGGCAGAACCAGCACATCCTTCCCACCCTGCCACTAGTTGCCCCCCCCCCCCCACGAGTGGCTTTCTGGCACAGCCATGGACCCAGAGGCACACAAACCAATCTCGTAACTATGGGGCTTTTGGCAGAAATCCCTCCAGACTTAATTAATAAAATATCAGAAATCCAAAATGGTGCAGCCGCAATAGCAGCCGCATGACATCATTTGGTCTTCATAACCAGCAATAGAAAACAAATTATTTCACAACGCCTTTTCAGCAGTTCTGATTGTTGGGGGGAAAATTCCAAATAGTAATGTTGCATCTTTTGTCGAAATAATGGATGTAATCAAAGTATAGAGAGAGTTAAGTGGAAATCATTTGCCTCATCAGCATGGGGAGGGATCCCATGGGGGGTATATTGGGGTTCTTGGTCATGGAAAATATGCACTGATGAAGAGATGGGTATTTGATCATTGTATGACTGAGATTTAAACCTGAAAGCTTTGCAACTTTTCTCATGGTGATTCAATAAATAAATTTAGGAAAAAAATATAAGCCAAAATCATATGGCGCCTCCCCCTCCCCCAATTGTACCTGGCACAATATTAAAGCTTCATAAACAATTTAAACATTAAAACCATTTTTCTTTCCTCCACTTTGTTGCTGTTGCAACAATAATTGGTGGTAGCACACTTGGTTATTATCTACACTAGAGGTCACGTTTTTGTGGTGCCTGGGGTCACATTTGCAATGTCTTGGATCTCACTCCACAATGTGGAAAGATGCTTGGAATCAAAGTGGAGGCTCCACACAGGAAAAGTGGATCCCAATTTTTGATCCATATATTTCTATATCATTGACAGCTTCCTTGGGGCAGGGCCAGAGAGACTGTACAGCAGGTAGAACACTTGCCTTCCACGTGGCTGACCCAGGTTGAATCCAATATAGGCCCTCAAACTCTGCCCGGAGTAATCCCTGAGTCCTGTGGGGTATGGCCCAAAAAACAAATAAACAAAAATAACTTTGGCATAGTAAGCTGAGGTAGCAAAAGGGGCTCATCTTTGTTTTCTCATGTTTGGCACTCAGTACTGCTTCTAGTCTCTGTCTTGTTTGCCTCCCTCACCCTATGGCCCTAGTCCTCTCTAACTGAAAGTGCTTCAGCAAGCACTGGGGATCACTTACTGTGCTAGCCAGGCATCACGGATTGGGACTTTACAAGGAATGAGGCTTGAAGAAGCAAATGTCTATTCCAGTTAGCCAAGTGCTCCCAGCTGCACTGGATTGGTTTGTGGAAGAAGCAGAGGCAGCTTGAAGGTGGGGACACATTTATGAAAGGGTCAGTGAGAGAGGCGAGGGTTGAAGAACATTGGACTAGGTCTTACCCGTGACACAGAGTTGTATAATGTTGCTGCGCTGGACCTCCAGATCATTCTTGACTGTGCAGTAGTAGCTTCCAGAGTACTCTGCTCTCAGAGAGTAGCTGGAGGAACTTATTTTTCTCGAAGTCTCTTCTATCTCCTTAATAAGCTCATCTTCATGAAAAAACTGATACAAGATTGGGTGTGAGCCTCTCTGGGTTTTACAGTGCAGTGTCACCATGTCCCCCGCAAGAACTCGGGCCCCATGAGTGTACAGAGTGAAAACAGGAAACACAGACCCTGGAGGAGAAAAGGGCATGGTCAACAGTAGTTCTTGCCATTTCCTCTGCACCCCAGGCAGAGGTTAGTAAAATGTCCAGATTAGGCTTCACTCTCCTCATGTGGTCTGGCAGCATACTAGGCTTTCCTCAGCTACTCTGTCTTGTCCTCCTTACTACTTTATTACTATCCTTTCTTTTCACATCACTACTTTAGATATGTGGCTTCTTCTTCTTGCCTTCTCTCCTTAGGTGATCTCAATCCTGTTTTACAAAGAAACTGCCTCTGGGAGAGAAGTCCTTTATCTTCCTTCAGCTGTCCCACCCACCCAGAGCATTTTGAGTCTTCTTGTCAGTCCCCATTCTCCATGTTTGCATTCTTTTGGGTTGGCCTTGGGGTTCTGCCTATGACTTCTTTCCTTTATATCTGAGTTAACAAGCTAGGACACCTGCTCTATGGGCTATGCCCACGACCAGCCAGGCCAAGGTCATATTAATCCTAGTCAAGTGAAGAAGCACACTCTACTCTTAAAGTATGTTTATGTGTTATGAGTGGAGGCCTTGGGGCATACAAGACACTTTCTTCTCATTGCCTTGAAAGCTTTAAGTGCAACATGGTCATGGTCTTGGATACTGGTCAAGAAGGGATGTGGTCTGGGCTTCCCAACCCCATGCATGTCTTTGGATAAGAAGGTAATTTTGTTAACTGTCTCTGCATGCCTTTGTACATTGGCTACTGTTAACAATTAGACATGAATTGAAACAAAGATAACCATTTCAAGAGAAATTATTTGGGAGATACTAAAGTTGACTGGGAACCAACACATCAAAAGTTTTAGAAGACAAAAAGCAAAAGACTTCCGCAGATTATGGGGATTAGGAGAAGGGTGTGGGAAGAGAGAAGTTGTCTATACATTTAGGGGTGTGGTACTAGCATACTAGCATACTGATTGAAGAATGAGTCCCAGAAGAGAACAACACTTGGACACTTGCTCAGTGTTCTTCAGGATGAGGGCATTAGTATGATGGGATGAGACTTGACACATGTGGTGATAAAACCTTACTCTCAATGTTACTCTTACTGAAGATAAGTCTATTATGAACATCATTAAATTTTAATAACATAATAAGTTATTATTTTCCCATAGTTTGAACTATGGAAACACCTGAAAGGGTGATTAGTGGCAGCCCTAAAAGCCTTTATCCCTCTCGGAGAGCCTGACAAGCTACCGAGAGTATCCCGCCCGCAAAGCAGAGCCTGGCAAGCTATTCGTGGTGTATTCAATATGCCAAAAACAGTAAATTCAATAGGTCTCATTCCCCTGACCTTGAAAGAGACACCAATATGGCAGCATTAAGAAGGATGAGGAAGGAGAGGCTGATAAAATCTCAAGGCTGAACGAGGCTGCCAAAACGAAGAAGGACAAAAATGACTGTTTGTACTTTCAATGCACATATGTTGGCATCGGATACATCCATTGAGGACCTGATGGTGCAAACACGAAAGATCAAGTACAACATCATTGGTCTGACTGAGACGAGAAGGTATCAATCACATCACGGTGTTTTTGACACTGGAGAACTGTTTCTTGAAACATGTGACAAAAGAGGTGTTGGTGGTGTTGGTGTCCTTGTCAACACAAACTTGGCCATGAGCATTGATTCATTGAATGCCTAACAACCTGAATTGGATGATTACATTTGAATAGAGGTGGCTCACTGCCGGCAGTTTCTATCTTCATTGTCTCTGCACCAACATCCAGTTATGATGAAGAAATTGAGAGGTCCTACATGGATCTGGAGAAGTTCTATAAAGAAGACCATAACCTTCTACAAGATTATTGTCGGTGATTTTAATGCCAAGATAGGACTGAGAAGATCAGTCGAAGAACTCTACATTGGGACCCATGGCCTAGAATGGAACAAACAGGGTGAGAGACTGTCTGAGTTCATCATGTCGACCAAGACCATCCATGGTAACTCACAGTTCCAGAAGGCCGAATCTAAACTTACTGGACATGGGAGTCTCCAGGTGGACGGTTCCACAACGAAATTGACCACATCATATTCAATCAAGGTTTTGCCTGACCGATGTTGCTGTTGTCCCAAAATTCCAAACAGGATCAGACCACCATTTCCTTCGTGAAAAATTCTGTTTCATGCAGCGGGGAGAAAGGGCTGTAACTTTTAGGAAGAGAACTCCCAGAAAGACTACCAACTGGGAGCTCGTTGGCACTATTGCAGCAACATGGGAAGACACTGTTGTTGACAACATTGACAAAGAATACGACCGACTGGTTCAGCACCTCCATGATTGTGTGAGGAACGCCGAGAGAGAGAGAGAGCCACAAAAATACACCTGTCTTCAAAAACTCTTGAGCCCACTCGCCAACGTGGCTTGGTGAGAGTCTCAGGCAACTGCAAGCGAACGTCTGAGCTCGCAATGCAGTGCAGAGCAGTGATAAAGGAAGACCTCAAAGAGAGAAGAGCAGCAGTGCTGGCAGATGCTGCAGAAGCTGGGAAAAGCATTCACAACTCCTACCTGTTCTTCACCAACTACAAGACCAAGATGACTGCCCTTTGACATCGTGATGGATCTATCACATCTTCGAGAAGGGCAATAGAGAAGATTATCCATGACTTCTACTCGGATCTCTTCGATAGCCATGTCCACCTGCCCACATATGAAATTCCAAGGTATGATCCATCCATGTTGTTCCCAACATTCTCTCTTCTAAAATCTGACACACCATTTTGTTAGTAAAAACGTGAACAGCAAGTGGCCTAGACAAGGTCGAACACCTGAAGAACCTGCTGTCAGTACTCATCAATACACTGACTCAGATCTTCACATGGTACCTGTCTTAATGCAAGTTTCCTTTCCCTTTTTCTGCTGGAAAACCAGCAGGACTGTACTACTGTATAAGAAGGGAGATATCCACAACATTGGCAATTGTCACCCGATCTGCCTGTTGTCTGTTGTCTACAAGCTGTTCACTCGAGTCATCCTGAATAGGATTGGCAGAGCACTAGATGAAAGACAATCATGCGAGCAAGCTGGGTTCCGAAAAGGATTCAACATGAGCAACCATATCCACACATTAACCAAGCTCATTGAGGTTTCTCGGGAGTTCAAGATGCCGCTCTGTCTAATGTTCATTGATTTAAAGAAGGCTTTTGATTCTGTTGAGACTGAAGTGGTCATCGAGGCCCTATCCAAACAGGGCGTTCAAACTCAATACATCAGGATCCTCTGTGAGCTGTATTACGGATTCACCACCAGGATCTCACCATTCTACAGGGAGGTGATCATTGATGTCAAGAGAGGGGTTCGGTAGAGTGATACCATTTCCTTGAAACTCTTCGGTGCCACCCTCGAAAACGTCATGCGACGATTGGAATGGGAAGAAATGGGAGTGAAGATAGACGGTTGGCAACTACACCACCTCTGCTTTGCTGATGACATCATCCTAATAATACCAAACATCAGCCAAGTGGCACAAAGCTGGCCGACTTTGTGTGGAAAGGTCAGACTACGGCTGATTCTCACGAAGACAATGTTTGTGAGAAACAGTCTCATTCTTGATGTTCCATTCACTCTCAACAGAATGAACATCTCTGAATGCAACAGTTATGTGTACCTAGGTTGAGAAGTCAACATGATCAATGACCTGGCACCTGAGTTGCACAGAAGGAAGAGAGCAGCTTGGTACTCCTTCAAGAGAGTTGAAGAAATAGCTAAGAGGAAGAAGAACCTCTGGCTCTGGGCACATCTCTTTGATTCCACTGTTCTTCCTGCATTAACCAAGCCTCAGAGACCTGGGACCTATGAAAACAGGATGAGAATGCTATTTGGGTCTCCCAAAAGAGGAATCAAAAGAGCTATGCTTGGAGTATCACACTTCACTTAAGTGAGAGAAAGAATCCTGAGTTCCTCTGTCGATCAAGAATCAGGGACGCTGTCTCGTTTGCCAAGGCATTGAAAATCAGATGGACTGGCCCTGTAGTGCAATTTGGAGACGACTGCTGGACTAGAGCCATTTCCAGCTGGATTCCACGGGACATCAAAAGATTGCGTAGCCGCCCACCTATGAGATGGTCAGACTTCTTTGTCAAGACCCTGAATGATTGGTTTGAGGCTCTTCATGTTCCTGGAGCTTGCAGACACCATTAGGCTACACTAGGCACGCAACAGGGATGAATGGAGATGTTACTGGTGCCCGCTAAAGCAAGTCGATGAGTAACAGGATGTCAAGTGATCAACATAATAAGTATTGTTCTAAAATCAGATAGTATGGTGTTGTAAGAAGAGGAAGACACATTAGAGATTTCTCCACCTCCTTGTACACGCATGAAAGGTCTTATACTGGAAATGAATGTCCTCAATACACACCCATTCACTAATCTGTTATTTTAGATTCCCAGCTTCAAGAATTGTGAGAAAAGGAATCTCAGTTGTTTTAGCTGTTCAGTCCATGATATTTTGTGATGATAGCCACAGTGGACTAATACAGATGACTAGATAAAGAAGTAGAAAGAAGGTGAGCAGAGATTGTGTGTGTGTGTGTGTGTGTGTGTGTGTGTGTGTGTGTGGTAGTAAAAGACCTCAAAGTAGAGATGGTTAAACTTTTGTTTATTAACAGAAAAATCAAGACTGACTATCACCTCAACAAAGTAAAAGTGATGTCTGTAATTTCTCTATCACCAGAGATTGCTGTGGAGTAATGCTAAGAGAGTTTTTTTTTTTTTAATCAGACTGTGAATGTTCCTATTTATGATTTACTCACAGGAATTCCAGAGTTTCTGAGAGTGTAGTATAGAAGGCACTCAGAATTTCTTTCTTTCTTTCTTTCTTTCTTTCTTTCTTTCTTTCTGTCTGTCTGTCTGTCTGTCTGTCTGTCTTTCTTTCTTTCTTTCTTTCTTTCTTTCTTTCTTTCTTTCTTTTGCTTTTTGGGTCACACCCGGCGATGCACAGAGGTTACTCCTGGTTCATGCACTCAGGAATTACTCCTAGCGGTGCTC